TAATTATGATCAAAGAAATATTTATTTTTATAATATTAAATTACGTTTAAAAAAGGTTTTTAAAAAAATGTTAATTTTCATTGTTTTGTACCTATTATATTTACATATTATATAATATATCTACAACATACATACCAATTTCGTTTTCCTCGGATTCTTCTTGTTCCTGTTCTGCTACTAAATTTAATACGAATTCAATTGTATTGGGATCTAAAAATAAAAACCGCATTCACATTGTAAACAGAAAAGAAATTAATATAATTAGACATTTTTAAACGGATAGAAAAGTTCTTCTACCTTGATTTTAATGATGGACACAATATTTACCATTATTCTGAAGGTTCTCGAGAGTCTTATCATCCAGTTGTAAAAGAACATTTTTTCCATCGTCCGTTGTGAATGATACAGTGTTTGTTCCCGATGCTTCTTGATTGTTACTACACAACACAGAAAAAAATGCCACTTAAGAGAAAGTATCCTTCAAACATTATCACAAATACTTTTTGCAACTTTATTTTGCTTCTAATTTGGTTTATTTACAATAAAAAAAGTTTTCAGAGTTTTCACCCACCTGTTCGCCGCCATACCGGAATGCTTCGTCTAAATAAACCTTCCCTCTCTAACGCGGGAGGCTGGGAAGGCCTTCTTAGTCTAACCTTCCGAACCAATCGAGCGGAAAGAATGATTATTCCGGAATAAGAAGGGTCCCAATCGAGTGGGCCCCAGTAAATAAAACTACTTTAAACAAATGTACTTCTTATTTTATTTTAGTTTAAGTGGATTATTTATTTTCCAAAAAAGCATTACATATTAAATACAAGTAAGGCGTCAATCCTTCGTCGCGACTTTGTATCCCACTGAAGGACGTAGAGATCGGCCTTTCCGATGAGACCGTTAAAAACCGAGGTTGCATGTCGTAGTACATGTAGGTATTGCCAAGAAAAAGATCCCTCCCTGCTCAATGGCCCTGAGTGTATGACAAGTTTTGCAGCTCTTTAACGGAAAGTGCTGGCGCCCCACATGAATGAAAAATTCTCGAGAGGGACTTTGAAAAAAACAAACAATCATATCAAATACAATGTTCCGTAATAGTTAGATCTGATTTCTTTGATAAAAGTTAGGGATATCTACATATTTATGTCAGTCAAAGAACCAAGCCACATTTTCTTTGAATCAAACTGTCAACCGGAGTAGATGTACCAAATCTAAAAGGAAAAATATCCATTTGATATGTCAAAATTACTTTGCAAAATTAAATGTTTTGGGAGCTGCACTTCCATGTGTCATTATTACCACGTTCATTCGGTACCTGAGCATAACCGACAATATCAAATAGGGTAACCACTATTTAACCTATGGTTTTGTTGAAAGGACAATGACATCTACATATAAGATATTTAAATGTAATTACTTATCTACTGGTCTGAATTGATAAACAATGAAAGGTGACTGAAGTATGTACTGGTATCACGATTACCTGAAATTAAACCATTAAAATGAAGCAATGAGTGGTTTAATATCATAAATCTTTTCTTTTTCATGCAGTCATTTATTAATTTAACTATCCATATTTATTCAATTAATTTCTTAAAAATTATCTCTATTCAACATAGAAAAATATATTGAAGGCATCAAATGGGCTACAAACTTTTTACTTTTGATGATCATACTCTTGATCTATGCAATTTGATTTCCGAGTCGGATAAAATATTCATCGGATAATTGAGAAATAAAAGAGATGTACACATTAAACCTGTTATATTTGAATTGTTCATTATGTTTAATTTGTAGAAGAATGTAATAGAAATATTTCCGGTTGTTCAACTTTATTGACGGCGAGGTCAAAAGCCAAGCTTTCTAAATACTTGAACAACCTAAATGTACGAGGGTTGTTAGGTTACCGTTAAATCGTGGATATGTTGTCTAGATTGAAAAGTAATTCGTACTGCGTTTTAAAAATTTCACTAATCTTTTAGTTGTTTTTTTTCTAAGTAATACTGGTTTGCATATTAAATTTCAAATGGATATACAATATATGCATACAAAAACAAATATCGAAACTTTATGTCGTGACGCAGGGGTGATGATGTCCTTAAGTGTCTTAAGCAGTGTCACGTTTCTTCTTTGCTATCAAAAGTTGTGTACGTCCTATTGAAGGTAGATCGCGGGTTTACCGTTTGCCTGAAAACAAAGGCTAAAAATTTGTCAGCTGACTCCTTTCGTTTGAAATTTTTCTTTCTGAATTTTTTTAAGATTCGTCTGCGTGGTTAGATTGAAATTGTTATTCAAATGCGCAGGGCCTGCAACTCTTGCCTTGACACCCCTCTCCTCACTCAAACAAAACCCCAATTGCAGTTGTAAGCCGAATCGCTAATGATTATCAATAATAATAGGGTCTGAATTATAGAAAAATATTTTATTTAGTGATGTTACCTAAATCATTAACGTCTCTCCTGTTGATAATTTCTGAGTATCTTACACCCCCCCCCCCCCCGCCCCGAAAGAATAAAAGCATCAGGAAGAGAAACTTATTTACAAATTATAGTACATTTAGCATATTGTTGCCCCAAATAGTGTCCATTTCTTTCTCGTTTTAAAAATCATATGCAAATTTTTTTTTTAAATCAGACAATACTGTTGCGGATAAAAATATTACCAATCTACGCGTACCTCATCACGAAGTAAATGGATACCTTGTATAATGAGTTAGAGACGATTGTAAACAAATAAAAATAAAGTAGATTTGTATATAGACTTAATTAAACAAACAAAACAACATTCATAAAAGTGAACAAAAAATTATGTCTTTGTATTGTATCAACAATTAGGCAGTGGTATTTTAGAAATGAACGTACACACAACAGATAGCAGCATTAAAAACTGCTTATAATGTAAAAGACAACCTTGATCAAAACATCATTTATTCTCAATTACACACAAAAAATATTTAAATACTCCAAACAACCCTTAATATATATTTCACTTTTTACTGCATACAGAAAATATCTACTGCTGAAGATATTATTTGCCTTGTTAATCTGAACGCGGTAAGCTTTTTACGTCAAATCCTATTGTGACGTCAGCAAACCCGTGATCTACCTTAAACTAAAGAATTCCAGTGATTTACAAGCTTGAGTTTTCCTTGTGTCCTCCTTAAATAGTCGATGCAACAAAGTGCAACCTATTACGAGACCTTCTGAAGATATATTCGTAAGCTATGGACAGGATTCACAATATCATTTAATGAAATAGGCAATACCTGCAGTTATAGTGTCTTTGACTATTACCGAAGACGTTTGTCCGTGTGTTTTGTTCTATCCTGTGGTTTGATATAAAAGAGTTTGCCAAGAAAAAGTCCATTTCACGTGTATAGTAAAGATCTGGTGATATTTTCATATATTTCTTATTAATTTGTTCTATGTCCTTTAAAGTCTAATTAGGCGTCATTACTACATCTAAATTAAAAAGAACTGCTCTCAAGTGCTCTGTAACATCGCCTTTTCTCGAGTGTTGTTTTTACGACTTAATCATAAAATTAAGCAAATGCCTTGAAATTTTCAAAAAGATGACAAAATAGATAGTCTATTGAAAGTAGGATAATTTTCACTTCAGTTTAGTTATTTGATACTTTTATTTTGATATAATGCTTTATTTCACTTGAAAATATATTTTGATCGTGCGCCGTAGGAGATAGTACCCTTTGCACATTCAAAAATAAAAAAACCTCATTTTGTTTATAATTTTATAAAAATGAATAAAATGCACTAAAACATGAAGAAAAAGAAACATTTGTTGAAAATTTCAGCTCAGTGCGCCAATTAGCTTTCGGGGAAAAGTTTTGTCCATGAATTTATCGGACAATCTTCGAACGTTACTGTGGACGGTTAGTAACAAATTCATAGAGTATTTGGTGCTTGTCCAGAAATAATGGCGGTTATTAACCTAAAAAGCTTAATCAAAAATTTGAATTTTGTTTGATTCTGGCCTCTCATTGGTTAATATCCAAAAAGGAAAGAAAATTATTTCTTTATAACCTGGTTTGGTATGGGGACACACCTCCTAACAACTAGCTGAACATTCTGCATCCATGTAATCCTCTCATTTCCAGTCCTCGGGAGTCATAGAAAATACCCGATCTAATAAATGTACCTTTAACTTCAAACAGTTACTCTATCTTACCACATCTAAACAAACATCATGGCTGCTAGACCTATGTATTAGTTTTATCTCCACTCGCTTCATATCACCTGCGTTACTACGGTTCTATTATTGAGTGACAAATTTGAACTAATATTATAAAAGGCAATACAATTTTTCATCTGCAGTTGTAAGCTAATTTCAAAATTAAATTATAAGGAATGGCACTAATTCTTTGCCAAATTATTCGAATTAACCTGGAATTAAAGTAATTACTTAAATAACTTACTTAACTGTGTTTGCTTGCCGTCTTGTTCTTTCAATTTTGTAACTGATAAGAAGCAATACTCTCAATTTTACCAAAGCATATAGTCAAATAAATAGGGATGAGTTTAGTTCATAGATTTGTTTCAATAGCAAATTATGAAAATAGAACGTGATATTCTTTTTCAATCCAGTTTAGATTCAGCTACGACTGCCTTCATCATGGGCGATGTAATCTGGCGGCGCCTATCCCTCCCCAGCTGAAGTTACCCCGTAACCTGGAGGTACGCTTTGGCCCTGGACACTTGGTTGTTGAACTTTTCCGAAAGCCCTTCCGCCCCGGTCGTTGATCGCTGTCCAGCTCCTCCGCCCTTTTAGTGGTGCAGTGTCAACACCATCCATCACCCATCACGTGGTTTAGCAGTCCGACGGATGCAGTGTTCCAAAGTGTGGCGCTTGGAGCCATCACCTGAAAGATTAGGGGATGACTGAGGATAGGTGATATGAAAAGTAAACAACTGACTGCTGATTATTGATGTATTACCTTTATCTTTATTGACAGGTCAGAATACAAAGCACATGACAGGTTGATAACACGAATGTGTCATGTGAGAAGAGTATAGACACACATTTTGTAATTTTGAAAACGGACGGAAAGAGTTTATATTAAGGTAATTTTTACAATTCATTTTTTCATACAATTTTACGATGATTATTCTTTTACGCAAGAGCATGCCCTACGTATGAAAAATTTCTAAAACGAAGTAAATTATTAACAAGCAAGTTGATGAAACAAGAATATCAACAGTTTCGTGTAAAGTCTTCATTTCGTAAATTTTTTGGTTGCTACAATGACCTTGTCAGCAAATACAATTTATCATTGAGTCAAATACTGACTGACGTTTTTCATACTTATTGTTAGTCCATTTTTACTTAAACATCACGTCTTTATAAACATATATGGGTGCTAATTTCAATTCTCTCTTTCAATACTACTTTCAAGCAGTCTTGATATTGAAACACATTTAAGGAATGCTTTTAAGTTTTGTGTGTCTTATATTTACATTTTACATGTTTGAAAGCACCATAAGTATAGTAGTTGAATATCTCGCTGCCCTATATCGTTGACGTTTTACTTACGTTGCTAAAGCTTCATTGTGACGTCACAATAGCGAGAAATTCAACGTATATATTTGTACGCGTGATTATACACGATTAAAGTCTTCAAATTGATTTAAAACAGTTGGCTTAGTAAAAAAAACGCAGCTAGTGTAAATAAATGTATATATGTTTGTGTTTGTATATCCCAAATCCCTATTTGTCAGTCAAACAATGTGAAAAGTTCCCTCTTTTAAGTCACTGACAGTGTTTTAATGACAAGAATTAGTCCATGTGAAATCTATGAAGGCTAACAGGACATGAGTTTAGCCTGGCACTGATTTTGTTCAAAATACTTTGGGCTTAGTGGGGTTAAAAACATCGGGTGGTTTTATTCTTCAGAGAACATTGGCATTCACTAGTACGGTTACCGTATTTGTTAAGTACATTCCTTGAAATGTTTTCAAACAATGAATTTAAAGCTTTTACCATTTCAGAGCCGTAAGGATAAGGAATGGATCCCCGTATCAGTGCCCAGGATTTGATGCGATGTGACCACTGCGAGACTGCTATAGTACAGATGCACTGTGATACATGCCTCGTCAACCTGTGCAAAGCCTGTGTGGGAGAACACATCTCAATCGCTGGATCCAAGGATCACAAGGTGGTCAATTTTCAGTTAAAGAATTCTATTCCCCTCTTCCCTGAATGTACCTCCCATGAAAAAGAACAATGCGAGATGTACTGTAAACATTGTGACATCCCTGTCTGTCAAACTTGCCTGGCATCTGATCAACACCTAGGTCATAAGTTATCAAAAATCTTGAACGTAGTCAGTGAAAAGAAAGACTTGATAAGGAAAGAGCAAAACGAATTAAAGGGAACAATTTATCCAACCTATCAGGGCATTGCAGCAGATACGCAAAACAAAATGCGTCAGTTAGAAAAGGAATACGGAGAGCTCTCAACAGCTATAACAAAACATGGAGAGGACTTGCACAGAGAAATTGACAAACTTGTCAGTAAACTGAAGGCTCAAGTTGAAAAAATGAAGACTTCACAGTTACAAACTTTACAGACACAGCTTGATGAAATCAACAAGAATGTTACTGACATTAAAGATACCCTTGATATTGCTGTAGACTCTAATGACATTTCAAAACTATGCAGTGTAAAATTACGTGTAGATCAATATAAAAACCTTCCACAAAAGCATGTTCTGTCTGTGCCGAAATTCACTCCAGGGACAACCAAAAGTGATGAACTTTGTAAATTGTTTGGAGATTTATCATCAATTTCTGTTAAATCGGAGGAGCATGGATACCGTATTACGAAATCACAAAAATCACCAGAAATGGAAACTCCAGAAGTTAATTCTCCCTCATTCAATCAAAAAACACTAGAAAGAAGATGTCAACCTGTCAGACCAGTAAAAAGATTCCTTCAGATACCAAAGATTCATTCTGAAAGTATTGCATATTTTGGCTACTTTCTAAATGTTGCAAGTTTGAGAAACGAACAGATATGGGTATGTGGAAGTAGCAAAAGGATGGACCTCTACAGAATCGAGGAGTACTTTCGATGTACCCTCGACTATCAGAAACCACCACTGAAAACAATCACAACAAAATCAGGAAACAGGCCATCAGACATAGCGGTGTCAAGAAGTGGATATCTTATTAACTCTGATTACATGGATAGGACTGTTAACATTGTGGAGAATAATTCAAACATAAAGGCGGTGATCAGACTGCAAAAGTGGAGACCTGGAGCTGTATGCAGCACTTCTACTAATGACCTCTTGGTTACATTGGAAAGTAATGACAGAAATCATTCAAAAGTTGTCCGATACTCTGACTTCAAAGAGAAACAATCCATTCAGTTTGATCATACTTGTACACCTCTTTATTCATCTGGATTTTCTTTAAAATACATATGCGAAAACAGGAACCTTGATATCTGTGTAGCAGACTGCGGAGCTAGGGCGTTAGTGGTGGTCAATCAGGCGGGGAAATTTAGATTCATATATTACGGACATACTCCTTCTCCAAAGCATCAACCATTCAGTCCATGTGGTATCACAACAGACAGTCAGTGCCACATCCTTACAAGTGATGATAACAATTACTGTGTTCACATCCTAAATGAGGATGGAGCGTTCCTACGTTTCATAAACTGTGGGGAAACATTTAAACTACATGGACTGTGTACAAATGCTAGTGACAATCTGTTTGTTCTTAGTTCCAGAGGATACACATTTCAAGATGTTGTAAACTTTTTTCGGTCTGATGCTAATTCAGATATTTATAATGTGATGAAAATCAAATATTTACAGTGAGATTAATCATATTGTTCTTTTGTTTAACTATTTAACAAATGTGTACACCTATACTTAATAAAACTTAACAAATGTACTTCTTATTTTGTTATTTTTGTTGGAAAAAAGTAGCTTAATTATATATGTACACTGTATGTCAAAAATTTACATTTATTTTGGTAATTGCAAAAGTGTGTTCTTTATGTATTTAGTTTATAAATACTGATCAATTAAAAGTACAGATTCTATAGAACCAGTAATAAAAACAAAAGGCCTGCACTACGATCCACATCGCTCGCTTCAGCACTTTGACTAGAGAGAAGAAGAAATAAGCCAAATATTGGAAAGATTCAATATAAATGTGGTTCCAACGGGGACATGATTTGAAAAAATGTGAAACAACACAAACTGATGATGTTTCTTAATTAATAAGATTTTCTTTACATAATCTTTAATAAGGCTGCCCAAAAGTTAAATATGCATTGTTGCAACCACTATTGAAATAATTATATCAATAGTGGTTGAGAGTGCATTTCAATAGCAAACGTAGTTAGTAACCACTATTGATATATAACCACTATGGAAATATTATATCAATAGTGCTTGAGAGTGCATTTAAATACCAAACATAGGTTGCAACCACTATTGAAAAACAACCACTATTGAAAGAATAATATCAATAGTGGTTGAGAGTGAATTTCAATAACAAACATAGGTAATAACCACTATTGAAATACGACCACTATTGAAATAATTATTTCAATAGTGGATAAGAGAGCATTTCAATAACAAACAAAGATAGTAACCACTATTGAAATACAACTACTATTGAAATAATTATTTCAATAGTGGGTAAGAGAGCATTTCAATAACAAATATAGGTTACAACCACTATTGAAATAATGTCCACTTTTGAAACAAAGATTTCAATATGGATTAAATTATTGATTTCAATGGTGCATTGAACAATGAATCCAATATATATTGAAATAATTATTTCAAAAATTGCTGACGCGGTAAAACTTTTCTTTCAATACGAGATGTACATGTATTTTAATAATGGTTGAAACCTATGGTTATCATATTGAAATGCACTCTCATCCACTATTAAATAATTATTTCAGTAGTGCTCGTATTTCTATAGTGGTTGAAACCTATGGTTATTATATTGAAATGCACTCTCACTCACAATTGAAATAATTATTTCAATAGTGGTCGTATTTCAATAGTGGTTATTACCTATGTTTGTTATTGAAATGCTACATATCATTGTTAGTTCAGTTGACGGAAGACGGATATGGAGATAACGAACAGTATTCAAGATAAAAGTCCATAAAACAATACAAAATAGGAGCAGAGCAAACACGGACCTCCGAAACATCAGAAGTGGAATCAGGTGCCATAGAGGAGTGAGCATCCCCTGCTGACCGGTCACACCTTCCATGTCCTCATTGTCTTGATCAGGTAATAACGAAAAAATCCGTTGTCAATTCAGTGTATAAATAATGGACTAACAATAAGTATGGAAAACATCAGTCAGGATTTGACATTTGAGGTAATGATAAATTCTATTTACTGACAAGGTCATTGTATCGACCTTAGAACGTACGAAATGATGACTTATGAACCAATATCATTTGACATAAAGTTAAGATGTACTTGTTAAACTATAACATTTGACATACAGTGCTATAGATTTATAACAAAGATATCAAATTTAGCATCAAATATTATTATGCGCTTTAACAAAATATTTAACAGTGAATGGACTTAATATAATTTAAAATATTCCATGAAGAAATACCATGATTCTCTACGAGTATCAATTAGGATACATGTAGCACTGAACAACAAACATTCAATATTGCAGATCTAAGGCAGCATAAAATAAATTATGATTTTAATTTTTTTTTAATTACCGCTCACGGTAGCTCAGTCGGTAGAGCGCTCGCTTCGTGATCGGGAGGTCGTGAGTTCGAATCTCGGCCGCGACTGACCTAAGTCGATAAAAAATGGGTAGCAACTGTTCCTTCGCCATGCGCTATGCACTTTAAAGTAAAAGTTGCAGGTCTTTCGGATGAGACCTTAAAAACCGAGGCCCCAAGTCAGCGGCAGGCGTTCGCACGATAAAAATTACTCACTGCTTAATGGCCCTGAGTGCCGAGTAAATGTCAAAATTTGAAGCCCTTCACCGGCATACGGTGACGTCTCCATATGAGTGAAAAATTCTCGATAGGGACATTAAACTATATACAATCAATCAATCTATTTTTTCCTCACCATACCCCTTGGGATAATTTGAACAGACTTGAATCTACACTACTCGAGGATGCTTCCATATTATATCAATATGACTAAGCATGGCTTTGCTGCTCTGAGAATGTTTTTTAAAAATAGATTTGTTGAACAAATAAATTCAGGGGAACAATTGATCAATATATAGAAAGATAAGATCGCGTCATCTTAATTTCAAAATGTTTACTTACTTTGTCTTGTTAAAATCTATATATAGATTTATATTATGAGGAAACATACATTATTTAAAATTAACAATTAAAATACTCTTCATTTTCTATAAATATATTTACTTAAAAATTTTCCAGACATTTATTTTCATAAAATAAAAAAATCACTTATAAAATTGCATGCAGAAGCACGTAAGAGTTATTTATGTTTGCAAAGAAAATTATTGCCCATTTCGTTTTTATGCGCATTGCAGAAGACAAGAAAATTAACTCTAATTTTTCATTGGAGTTTCTGATTAGCATCAGATATTAGGGAAAATGTATTTTGGAATCAATATCAGTATTGGCTGTGTAAAGAAAAGTTTGTCCTTTCAAAATTCTAATCTTTATTTAACTGTTATTTAATGATAAATGGTTTATCAACTTCAACTCTGCTTTACTTCTTTCACTCGTTGCTTTATAACACATCACAAAGAACAGCTTTAAGTGCTAGTCATGCAGGAAAATGGGCATAAAATTGTAATTACAAAAACCCACGCATGAGAATTTCACATACATTCTTACATTCTTCCGATTCATGGAACGGCTTTGTTTATTTCTACTAAGTATTTAAATTTAAAAACAGATATTTAGAAAGAAGAATATGTGGTAGAAGAATTACGCAGTAATATTAGTCATATTACCCACAGACACCAATTGCTAAGAGGATCCTAACCTCGCCATTTTTCTATTTGTTGACAGGTAATAATTATGTCTAGAATTATTCTTAATTTTCAATAACTCTAAAAACTATTATTTTATCTGTTATTAATACATCTATTCAAATATTTTGTAATGGAGATATTGTTTTTAATATTTATTTTTTATTTTCCTACAAAAAATGGTTCTGACAGTCAAGGAATCAATTACTTCTTTAGAGTCAAAGGCTAGTGATGGACCCTTGTACAACTACCCAGGATGTGATGCAATGTAGCCTGTGTGAGACTCCTAAAGTGCAGATGTACTGTGAAGCATGTCTTGTCAACCTATGCAAGGTCTGTGTCGGAGAACACATCTCAACTAGTGAATCCAAGGATCACAAATTTGTCAAATTACAGTCTGAGAAAACCACTCCCCTTTATTCTGGATGTGCCGCCCATGAGGGAAAACAATGTGAGATGTACTGTACTCTATGTGATATTGCTGTTTGCTCCACTTGCATGATTTCTGGTCAACACATGGGCCACACTGTCGTGAAAATCTCAGATATTTAACAGTTGGCGTTTTCTAAATATTCAGGTTACCGCAAAACGAATTATATTTTCTAAAACAATGAAATATGAACATTTTTGCAATATAAACTTGTTCTGTTCTATGTTAAGAAATTATCGTAAATTTGAAGTGATTATTGCATGTTATTGTAGGAAGTTGATAAAATTATGCATGAATGACTGATTTTGTGCTATCTTCTGTTGGCTTTATCTTAATTACAAACACGATAAAATATGAAACGAATTCCATAACCTGAAATCCTGGAATTATTACATTATTTTATTCCGGACATTATAACATGTATCAGGTACGTACATCTGTTACAGAGAATTTTTTTCTTTAATATCGGAACTTTTACGGGTAAAACACACAAAAAGCACGATGACGTCATTTGATGTTTTTCATACACAATCAGATCATTTATTAGCGCAGTGTAAATAAACTGGTTCTTCTGATATATGTAACAGATTTATTTAAAAATAATGAATTATTTGCAAAGAAGAGTTAATGTACGACACGTTTTAGCCATATACATGTTATTCAAGGAGAAAATTTCTATAGTCTTAAGGGCAAAATTATACACATGTAGTAATAGTGTAGATTTGCATGATCAGTAAGAAGTACTTTGGTTATTCTAAAGTTATTTTAAGGTATTTCTAGAATTACCTTAGAATAACTTTAGAATAACCAAAGTCATCCTCGTCTAGTGCCCCCTCCACCCTTTATCGTATTAAAGTCATGCGAAGGTTGTGTTATTTATTTTAGTATTTCACTGTGATGTTAGGTGATTCCCGACTTCCAGTGAATTAATTAAAATTGCAGAATAATATTCATATTGTAATTTGTATATTGAATAAATCTGTCTTAATTTAAAATAAGGCTTATTATTTTACTCCCCCGTAATTTTATATACTAGTCCAAACACAGGTAATTCTAGGGGATCAATATTTACAGGTTATTCTAACAAATCATCAGAGTACTTCATGGGTTATTCCAGTGTAGGTATTTAGCAACTACTAGTGCATGAGATACAAGCAACTCAGGTCCGTTGCAGCTATTTGAAAAGATCAGGCTAAAATAAACTTTTATGTTTACCATTAATTGTTGGTATGTACAATGTAAGATCAATAAAGGGAAGAGTGGGTATGTCCTACAACTAGAATGAAATAAAAATCAGCTTATGGATACATGTACCCCTGACAGGCTATATATGTCTAGCACGAGTTATCGTTCCCGCTTAACGCACGAAATTATATAACACCCTCTGGTGAGAGATTTATCACACGAGTCAGTGGGTCACGTCAACTAGAACGGCATTTCCGTTGGCAAGGACAGCAGCCATTTACTTACATGATTTGAGGTAATTATTACTGGTTATATTATTTTAAAACTCTACGTTCAAAGTTGACATTTTTTACTGCTAAATATCAAAGAAATCAAGGAGACTCTCTATCTTTCCGCTTGATGATGAGTAAGAATTATTATTTGATTTATCTAAATTTTCTTTTTCTATTATATTTTCTATTTAACCTATATTTTTATTCGTATATTTTAATCAATTATATGAAATATATATATGAATATTACATATATCTATGTATCATATGCGATCTAGGTCTTGGTCAAAGTGTAATTTCATATAAACATTATGCAGTTTATTTAAGGGCCTGGGCCCATTTTACAATAATACTGATGTTTTAGACCAAAAATTGATTTTATTCGTAACTTTTTTATTTTACCTGAAAATGACAATATGTTTAATATTTTAAAAAGAATTTAACAAGATATGTTATGCTAACAATTTCAAACAAGACAGCTAGGATAATTAATACTACAAAATTCTAAAATGAACTAAAACTATTGAGTCCTAGTCATAGGTTTGTTTTGTTTTTTTTTATATTTGTTTCTTTTTTATATTTTTATTGTTTGCAAAACAGAACCATAGAATAATATAAGCTCCAAAGGACATTCTTTTATGGAATCTTATTTTTCTTGATTTTACATCTATAATATTATACTGCATATATAACATCAAATTACTGTCCGCTTTCATTTACTAAGTTGCTTTGAATTAATGATAAAAACAGATTCACTTTTGTAAAATCAATACAGACCTGTTTTTGTACCGAATCACTCAATCGATTAGCAGTCGCTGTAGAGTTAGAAGCATTTTATGAGGGAAAATCATGTTGTGATCTATCAAACGCTTCTGAAAGAGTATGGAATAAAAGTCTTATTTAAACTTCAAGTATATGAAGTCTTTTGAAATCTATTTGAATGACATTATAGTTATTTGAAAAATAAAATTCAAAGTTTGTATAAAGACATTAAATCGTGAAGCGAGACTAAAACAGATTTATATGTTACCTAGTTTAAGTCCTTATTCCTTGTTATTTCTAACATGCTTAATAATGATCAAGAACATTGTTAATTAATTTTATTGCAAACTTCAATTCTAAATCAAAAATTAAATTGATTTACTTACCAATTTATTAAAATATCGAATTTATTTTTTGATTAATTTATTTTGATATTGTAAAACGACATTTGTATAGTAGATTCAAAAAGATTGATTAACCCTGTAAACATTTTGAGATCAAAGCATCAGTATTAGAGTATTGTGTTCAAACAAAATTGTGCAGTTTATTTAAGGGTCATGAATGATATTAACTTCAATTATCTTGCAATTTATTTTAAAAAGATCACATCTTTGAAATCAAATTATAGACCCTGTTTAACCTACTTAGTTGCAATATTTTAAAAATATCAATATGATGGTAAGAATAAATTTCAAACATTTGTATAATCAAAATCGTTTAGCTATTGATGTACAATGGGGACTCATTTATCAGGACGCTTTGGTTCCCGTTCAATTTGTTCGGATATGTGATGTGTCTTGATACCTGAATTTCCAGTTAAACAAGACAAAGTTACGTTTAAAAATTCCGTTCCGATGAAAGGTTGCCTAGTTACTGAAGCATCCGGATATCTGGCGTCCGGATATCTGAAGGTCCATTTTATTATTTAAAAGCATTTGGGGGAACTTTCTCTTGTATGGCATTTTGTGATCTTTTTAAAGGCTTTTAATAAAGTATAGAATAAGGAAATTCTTCTGAAACTACAAGAATTTGGGATATTTGGTTGTCTTTCTGATCCACTTTATAGTTAGTCGAAAATCAAAGTCATAATTTGTATCGTGTGGCTGGACTACAACAGAGTTACATAAACCCAAGTGTTTAAAAGTTGAATTTTCTGCTTTATTTTAATAAGGTTAGACGTGATTCAGAAAATCTGTTTGCAATATGAATTAATTATTTTGCAGCACATAATTTAAGGCAAAGTCCTTAGATACATATTGCTTAAAGAGAGTATACCATTAAGAATAATCTAATATTTAAAAAAATCTTAAGAAACAGTAATTAAATTTCAGTCCTTTGAAACTAGAGCTGTTCTCTCAATCTAGAATATTTTGAGTTTAAGACCTTCAGTCATGTCTTTCAAATTGAAAAGGTAATACGAGTGTGTATCCACAAATATGCATATATATTGTATTACTTATTTCTCATTAGATGAGAGTTGGTCAAACTATATGAAAAGCACTTGAAAGTGCATAATAGTTGTAATGAAAGCTACAATTAGTTCTTGGATGAAACGTTCTTTATTAAATACATTTTTCTCAGGCCTTTAACATGGTCAATATATTCTTACTTTACACATTATGTATCTATTAATGTGAGGAAAGTAACCCATTCCTTGTTTGTAAACAAGTAAAATTATGAATTAGTTTATTAATCGATTTATTTCAAAATTCTGATTAATTTTATTCATTCATTTTTTTAATATTGTGAAACCGACATTTTTAAAAAAAAAATCGCTAAAACATTTTGAAATCAAGTCAGCGGTACTCTTTGTGTTAAAATTTTTTTGCACTTTTTAAGGATCAAAAATGACCTTTACTCAATGTTTGTTAATTGTGAGTTTAAAATGACATTCAAAACTTTAAATTACCAGCCCGTTTCACTTACAGAGCTGCATACTTAAAATGATGATAAGAATAAACGACAAACATTTTTAAAATCAATACCAGCCATTTAACCATCTAGCAATAGCTGTGTTGTTAACGAACATTGGTAAGGAAAATAATGTTGTATGGTGTTTTGTGACCTATCAAAGGCTTTTGATAGAGTATAGAATAAGGAAATTCTACTGAAACAAACTTATGAAAAAATTGCCAGTCATTTGAATGGGTTGAAAAGCATTCGAAGTAAAAAATGTGTATAAGGACATTTAATAGTTTATCTGGACTGTTAGGGTATATCAGGCGAAAGTCCTGATTTCTTTCCAATTCTAATATTATATATAAATGTTATTTGTAGAAGACAATTTAATACAACACTTTTTTTTTATCAGATTTTGCCATTGAAGATTATTTACTTTAAAAAACTTATATAATATAAATGAATGGTCGTAACAAATTTAATTCTACAAAATTATAGCTGTACTCTTTAAATCTTTTATGAAGAGCCTTCTTTGACTAAAAGTGTTCATCCGTTCACCCTCTCCTATTTCACTTCTTTTCCATATTACCAAACTATATATATGCAATTAAAATATCAAATCCATTTTACGTACAGTTCTGAAAATATAAAGTGTGGCAGACGGACAGACAGCAGACATGCCTACGTTTTTACACCAGATGTGTAATCTAGACCCTTACTTGGTTGGATTTAAAGGCAAAGGCGTAATCACATTTTTACTCATTTAATTACTCTCTGCTAATTATACAATAAAAACCAGACGTCAAGTTGTACATTCTATATAATATGGACATCTAGTCATTGGAAAACAATTAATTGTTGTTAACCCTTTGCTCTGCACATAAAATAAAGTATATGTTATGTTCTTTGAACAGGTTGAACATCTACTTCTTAACATCCCATCATGTCTAAAACTAAATTTCACACGGGCGTATTTCTTTAAAAGCTTGTTTATCACAACTTTTTTCAGTATTACTATAGTAGTAATTAAAAAAAGTTTGATTAGCCTGCTGATAACGATATATATATTTCATCTGGTATTTAATTTACTTAAACTCGTTCGAAAATAGGTATTTTAATGTGCATAAAATGTACTGAAATTCAACAAAAATGTCAATTTTCTATCCTTCTTGCAAAGTTATTGCGACAACAATAATTCTGCCAAAATTATTATCATATATATACAAGGAAAACGCCAAATTTTACACCTGCTATAAAACCCGCTAAACAGCATTTAAAAACAACTCAAACTAAGCTTTTTGATAGCTTAAACAGCTGCCAATTCAATAAAAATGGAGCTCTGAAATTTTCTGATTTTGTGATTGATCATCTACAGAATTTCTTTGTTTAAAATATCCGACTGATTCTTAATATAGAACAGATGCCAAGGTTTCTCATTGACAAAGTGTATATAAGTCTAGTCTTTGGAAAGCAAATCTTGCAATAGACATGTAGATTGTTCCTATTTTGACTGATATTATTTAACAATGACAAGAACTTTGGGAGAGATTTTACGATTTGGCGTTATTTTACAAGAGGTTATATTTTGTTAGCATACAGTAGTAACAGCATTTATCGAAATCAAGATGTGAAGAAAAAATGTTTAGTGTAATAAAATTTTACGCCAAATCTAATTAAAGTCTAATTAAAATTAGAATAAAATGGATGAGGAATTGAATCATTAAGAATAGCTCATAGACAGTGCAGACAGTTAGAAAAACGATCAGAAAACGACATTTAACTTACAAAATGTGAAATTTGCTACATTTTAGAGCCACAAGAACTACGTATGGACCCCAATACTAGTTCCCAGGATGTGATTAGATGTGCCCAGTGTGAAACTGCTGTGGTACAGATGCACTGTGTTGCATGCATTGTCAACCTCTGCAAGGCTTGTGTGGGAGAACACATCTCGGATGAATCCAAGGATCACAAAGTGGTCAAATTTCAATCTAGGAAAACCACCCCTCTCTATCCTAGATGCACATTCCATGAAACAGAGCGATGTGAGATGTACTGTAGACATTGTGACATTCCTGTCTGCCTTACTTGTCTGCATTCTGATCAACACCGCAGTCATAAGTTATCAAGAATCCAACAAGTATTGAATGAAAAGAAAAACTTTATGAAAAAAGAGCTAAGTGAATTAAATGAAACAATCTATCCCACCTATCAGGGCATTGCAGCACATGTAAAAATTAAAATGAGTCAGCTAGAGAAGGAATATGAAGATATATCGACCGTCATAACAAATCATGGAATTTACTGGCACAGAAATATTGACAAAATTGTGAATAAACTAAAAACCGAAGTTAATGAAATGAAAATCTCTCAGTTACAAACTTTACAACAATATTTTGATAATATATACAAGAAAATTGTTGGCATTAAAAGTGAAATCGACTCATTAGATACATGTTTTGCTGAAAACACAAATGACATTGCCAGATTTTTTAATTTAAGACCTAAAGTAAATCAATATAAAGAGCTTCCACAAAATCTTGTACTCTTTATTCCTAAATTCAATCCTAAGACAATTCAAGATGAAAAATTTATTCACCAATTTGGAGGGTTATCGTCAATTCCTTTCACAACAGAAGATGCAAGAATACAGACAACTCAAACATCAACACAATGTGGTTCCTCCTTGCTCAAAAAGAAATTTGGATCCCATCTCCCAAGAAAACAGTTTAACACTGATATGTTCCATTTTGAAAACTATCTTCAAAACATTGCCTATCTAAGTAATGAAAAGATATGGATATGCGTTTTCAGTAACATTATAGAACTCTATGATACTAAAAGGCATTTGTACACCAAAACAATCAGGACTAAGTCAGGGAGCGTCCCAGCAGACATAGCAGTGACATGTAGTGGATATCTAATTTATACTGATGACGTGTATAAAACTGTCGACATAGTAAAGAATGAAAAAGTAGTGGAGATGATTCGATTCAAGAACTGGAAACCCCGTAATGTCTGTAGCACTTCCTTTGGTGACCTCCTTCTTACCATGGAAAGTGATGAAAAACAATCAAAAGTTTTCCGATATTCTGGAATCACAGAGAAGCAATCTTTTCAGTTTGATGATAAGGGCAATCCTCTCTACACATATGGTGAGTTTAAAGATATATGTGAGAACAGAAACTTTGATATATGTGTGGCTGACTCTAAAGCTAAAGCAATAGTGGTGGTCAATAAAGCTGGGAAATTGAGATTTAGTTACATAGGACACACTCCTGCTCCAAAGAATAAACCATTCAGTCCGAGAGGAATCACTACAGACATTCAAGGTCACATCCTAACAACTGATTATGATAATAAAAGTGTCCACATCATGGATCAGGATGGACAGTTCCTACATTACATTAACTGTGGAAAGAATTATCCTTATGGAATCTGTAAAGATACAGTTGGCAATCTGTTTGCTCTTTGTAATGACGGGTTCTGTAAAGGTTACTGCGTGATGAAAATCAAGTACATGTGGTGAAATCAATAATTGTAAATATGTTTTGTCTTATCAGGTGGTAAAAATTATTTACAGCAACAAACAAATCATTTTTCAGCATGAGTAATTGTCTGAATTTTTTAAAAATAAGAATCTTTTTACCGGTAATCAATGAAAAACCTGCACAAAAATGTATAGACACAAGGGACTTTTTCTTTTGGTAGGAGGATATTAAGCAGACATTCTGCAAGTCTGAACACTTAGTAAATCTAATGTCATAGAAATTTAGCCTCAGGAACTATTACTCATACTGTATTCTCCGTAGGAAAATTAAAATAGGTCTCAATTTATATTTAAGAACAATTTTACACCTTCCTTCAACAAACCTTGCCGTGAAATGAAGATACATAAATGAAGTCAAGATAAGATTTACACCTTTTTTGCCTAACAGTTGCATCACTCAGTGATTGTATCACATCATAGGAATGATAAGTTCACCCGATAGTACCTTCCTAATATTTACTTTTGCTTTAAAGAGATAAACCTATCAAAAGTTTTCCCACAAATGTGCATGAAAAATACATGTTTAATTTTTACACAATTAAAGACCTGAAGAATTTTTAAACAATATATTGAACTTCACCTCTTCATAGACTATAAATAAGGATATTGCATGGATACATATGATTCAGCTAGTTGTTAGGGGGAGGGATGTTCCAAATACAAGGTTATACAGAAATATTTTGTATTCTTTTTTCATAATTTTGGACATAAACCAATCAGAAGCTAGAATAAGAACACAAGTTAATTTTATAAAATAATTTTTAGGCATTAATTTACCTTTTATTACAGATAAAGTTGTATGCAGAAACTTAAAAATGTATAAATGGTATTTATGTTCATTAAAAATATTATGTTATTTTGTTTCATGCTTTTTGGAATTAGTGAAATAGCTCTAATTTCATTAATTTTTAACTGAAGTGTTTGAACAGGCTGGTATATTATAAAGAAGGTCATTGAAAGTGATATCAGCACATCATTGACTGTTTAAAGAAAAGCTTATTCTTAAAACATAAAATACTAATCTTTATTTACAGGTTGTTTAAATAATAAATGATCTGTTTAACTTCAACTCTGTTTTTAACTTCTTGCTTTATACGACATCAAAAAGAACAGGTCGTAATGCCAATCATGCAGAAAAAAATAGGCATAGAATGGTAATTACAGACCAAAGTACGAGATGTTTATAAACTTACTTAATTCATCAAACTGTTTTCTATATATTTACAGAGTATTTTATTACAGACATTTAAATAATTGCTTACATCCAGAAAGAAATACCTGACAGTATGTAACGCAGGAATACTGGGCCATGTGACCTGAAAAAACCAATTGTGATGGATTTCAGTTGCTAAGAGGAGCTGCCATTTCTACTTTTGTTGACAGGTAATAATTTGTAGAATTATTTACAACTCTTCTTTTTCCTTAATCTTGTTCTTTTTTATGCTGATGTCTGCATTTAAACAGAATCCAAGGCATTTCCACCCTCCTGTGATATGTTTTTTTTTTTTTTTTTTTTTTTTTTTTTTGCAAAATCTGTCTTTTATTTTATTTCATTGCCAATAGAAATATACTCACCGTTAATAGAAACGCAACACCCTAATTTTAGGGTGAAAATTTGTACAGTATATAACTATGTTCCAAAAAAGTTAGGACATCTTCAACTTTGCCAAATCAGTTATTTAACAGATGAATGATTTCATTCCATTACCGGAAGTTGATTTTTAGCCATCTTAACAGAAATCAAATATTAGCATTTTTTATAAAATATTTGACAATATTTTGGGTTTTTAAGGTTTTGTACCTGTTAATCTTAAGTATTGTACTAAAATCCCAGGAAAATATATTTCTTTTTACCGGATGTGATACCTGTATTTCTTCGAAATTAACGAAAGCATTTCATTGATAATGCTGTAAATTCTCAAAATAAAGAAAAAGAAGAGCTACAGATGCAAATATACTCTACATAACGACTTTTCGGGCTCATGTGTTTCAAAAGCATGAATGACAGTTCATTGACCGGAAGTCTAAGGGTTCCTACACTGTGCCAAGTAACAGAAAATTCTACCTCAGTATCTGAAAAACAGGCATTTAAAAATGCCCAGGAATATTTATTTCGCTCAGATAAAGACATTGATAAACCTATTGCATGGTACAAATCCGACTGCGTATGTTGTACATGGCGGACTAGCATGTTTTGATTAAATGGTCGAAAGGGGGATGTTTTATTTAAAAGTTATCTGTTAAGATGACTAAAAAATCAACATCAACTTTCGGTAATAGAATGAAAATCAATCAACCGTTAAATAACCGATTTGGCAAAGTAAAAGATGTCTTAACTTGTTTGGTAAATAGTTATATCCCGTATATAATTTTCATCCTAAAATTAGAGTGTTGCGTTTCTATTGACGGTGAGTATATATTTTTTGGACAAAAAGCCTTTCAATATGTGAAATATAAATTACTGGTTAGTAAAAGAGTATGAAAATTAAATATATTCTTTACCTAATCTATTATCCAATCTTCTAAAAAGAAATTGCGAAGGACATTAACTCCTTCGCAAGTATCTGACTGTATCTCCATTCATCAGTTATCTTCACTGATGTTATTGCATTAACAATTCAGTCGAAAGTATAGAAAAACAACTATTTTAGATCGCACATCATCAGAATAATGTATTTGAACCAGTTTTAACATTATTTTACCTTTATGTTTACTTAGATTAAATATTTGTTTTATTTTAGCATACAACTCTAGTATCTGTTCATTTATGTTTTACTTCTTAAGAAATATGGCAACCTACTCGTATATAGAAATGAGTTAATTTTAATCATATTCGGTGAAAATAAATGCGTTATTTCTACTACTGTGAGGACTGAAATTCTATGATTGAAATCCATAAACAAAAAGGTGTTTATGTTCTAGGGGGCAAGATGTCATTAAATCAAGTCTCAGAAATTGTACGTAAGGTCATGATTGATTAGAGATTATCATAATAGTGTGCTTGGTTCTTGCAAATTAAATAAAACTGATTTTGTTCCTTAACAATACATACCTGATGCACTTGAAGAACTTTTTCATGTTAGAATTTATAGTTTTGCAAAAATGAATGGCTTGTATTAAATTTAATCTAAATTGGATCCATGATTGAAAGAGAAGTTTATCAAGAAATGGAAAAAGTAGCAAAACGGTTCTAACAATTTACAATATTTCTGAATACAGTTTTAATAATGGTCTTATAAAGATCTATCAACAAGAAAATCATACAAAAAATATACAAATATTGCTGCTTTTGAGGTCAATATGATGATTTAGCCACCTGATGTGTAAAATTTCCAAAGATGTGAATGTATTCAGTGATGAGAATATTTGAATTTGAAGGTCATAAATGGAGTACTTGCATTTCAATAAACATTTTATATATGTCTTTCATTAAAAGTAGAATGTTATGT